CAACTTTGGCAAGGAGTTATATATAAATACTATAATGCAATACTAATTAATAGTTAACATAAAAAAAGATTATTATGGTCTTGGCAAAACCTAGACATAAGTGGGAAGTGTTGTGAGGGTAGGCTCATAAAGCTAATAGTATGAAGACATCCAAATATTTCAAGCAATGATGTCAAGTTGGTTAGTTCATGAGAATCCCTTGCTAAATGAATCCCAATGAAAATGGGATTTGTATAGCCTAAGTTAGAAGGCATGCAACCTCAGTGCTTCAACCAAATATCAATAGAGGTGTGGAATCACTAGCAATGAGTTGTAAGACTTAATAACTATGAAATAACTAAGTAAAGGTTTAGAGTAATTAGTTGAAATGGTGGAAGTTAACTTCTTGAGACTTCTTGTTGGGATAAGAAGAAAGTTAGATATATCTCTTAAGGGATAAATTACTTATATTGCAATATAAGTTAATATCATAAAGAAACCCATCATTGAGATACCTAAACACTCTAAAACACCTAGGAAGTGGTGTTTAGTATTATAGAAGCATTAAATAAAGCCCACAGAACTAATTCTTTAGAGAATAATAGATAGATGTTATCAAATATCTAAGGTTAACAAAAACTACAGATAAGATAAGTTTATCTATCCTAAATAAATAAAACTAAAAACATTTTGGCATGGCAAGCAATGGGCATAGAGAAGCCCATAAGTAGCAAGGTTAATTCTAGTGTATAGGATTACAAAATAAGCATATCCAAATTGAAAAATCACAAGCTATTAAATGGGTTCATCCTTAACAATACTTGCTAAGGCATGGTAAAAAGTGCAAAGCTACCCTCCTAGTCTAAAGGAAATTAATCGAATAGAATGTATAATACCAAAAGCAAATAGCAAAATGATAGAATCAAATATAGAAATTGAAAGGCATAGCCAAGGGTGGTTATGCATTTTAGAGAGAATCAAATGGGTGTTCAAAGGTGTTGGTATTAGCAATTATGGTGCCATAGAGGTCTGAAATATACAATTGCCTATATTAAACCATATGCCCATTAGAAAATTTATGAAAGGAGAAGGTTTAACAAGCTAAGGAACAAAATCCCTTCAATATTCCTAAAGACAATTCTAGGTAAATTAATACTTAAAAGGACAAATGTAAATGGTTTATAAAAATATGTGAAATTAAAATAGTGCAGTAAAAGCATGGTCTTGAAGCTTGTCATGAGGCAAGGGTATCAAGGTTGGTAAAATAATTCTTGAATGGTCAAAAAGATAACTTTGAATGAAAGTTAATATTTGAAGACTTTTATGCCTACGCATAGAACTATATTATGCTAGTTGGGTGACTTGTTAAGTGAAATTGGCAAGCCGAAGGAACAAAGACTCTAATTAAAGGTGTTGACTTCAAAATGGTGGTCATGTAACGAAGTATGGAGGAGTCTATACATTATCACAAACTTATCAACTAACTTGTCAAATGAGAGAACTTGGAAGTTCAGAAGAACTAAGTTCTTAAGTTGTGATCTGTAGCACATGTTAAATATAAATTGGTGCACTAGCATTAAATATTTTGGGTGATGCCATCTATAAATGCATATATGGAAATTAGGTTTAAGTCTCAATCCTTTAGTGCTTAGGTTTGAGTCCCAACTCACTAGGGCATAATAATGGTTTGAGATGAGAACATTAATTTTTCAATGGTCATGGACTCTTGGTAAAGACATTAGCTTGAGCACACTGTTAAAAGGGGGACGCCCTAGAGTCAAGATGCACCATTAAAGTGCTTAGTCTGAAAGTTTAGTATATATAACTTGAACTGGTGCAAGTTGCACTGAGGACATAATGAATAAAATAGGGACACCTAATCTCAGTTGCTATAGACCCTTGACCAAAAAGGCTAATTTGGGCATATTACCAAGTGTGGGGGATACCCCCAAGGTCATAGTCAACAATTTAAAGGTTTACTAGACTTCTATTGATAAACCTGTTAATGTGAGATCACTAAGTTGTCCTACAGCTAAATAAGGACAAGCTCTTTATTGGGTTAAAGAATAACATTCTTAGTTCAAAATGTTAATTTGAACTATTAGTAATAGTGTGACTTAGTCAAGGTGACCAAATTAAAAGGACACCTAAGTGACATGAGCTGTAACAATATAATGGTATTATAAGTCCAAGAAAGTAGCCTCTAAAGAAGGATCAATGGGAAGATTACAAGATTAGACTATAAATAAAACCCATAGTAAAAAATGCTAGAAAGATTTATTAGAGGTGAACACACTTTAAACTTAGCAAAGCATAATTTTTGCTATGGAACCAAAGGGATACCTCAAGGATAAAGTTAGTGATTCTATGTTGCTTAATGCAACAATTAAAAGATAGGAGAAAAAAATTAATAGTCAAGAATGGGCTTTGAAAGTTATTAGAAGGAATCTAAATGATAAGTTAAGCAACGAACCACTATGTAATAGATACTAACAAATTATATAAAAAGAAATATGTTTCCCAAGGATACAACTCTCAAATGCTCCAATTTGATAAAGGGAAAAGCTCCAAAAGATTAAGCAACAAGGTAGCCAAATAATAGAGCTATAGATAGTTTTAGCACAAATTATAAATAAGTGAAACTTAGTGCCTAAAGTGGCACAAAATAAAAAAGAGGATGATGGTGCCCTCAAGTAAAGAACATTTTGGGATAGGGAAGTGGAATTTGCACAACATATGCAATACAAGGTGTCGGAAACACCTAAAAATTTGACTTTAGAAGTCAATATTAAAATTCAAAAGTGTGATAATTATATTGATAGAAGCTAAAATTACTCTAGAATGAGTAGTAAAGTTAAGATAAAGAAGGTGTCTTTAATAGATTTAGCAAGAACTAAACAAAAAAAGGGAGAAAACCATCATAAATTGTCTAATAAATTTTTAAATTAGAGAAACTAAGCTCCTTAAACGATGGGCAAGGCAAGCCTTCAATGTTGAACCCTTAACAAATAATGGCTTAATGCCAAGGATAAAGATGGTAATCCATGATGAGGTTAGTTTATAAAATAATATTGTTTAATGAAGATATCAAACTTCATTTATAAGTGGTGGAGTTGTGAGACACAAATCCCTAAACTCCAAAGTAGAGCCAAAAGTGTGCTATATAGTAGTAGTTGAAGTGGGAATCCAATGAGCATAAGATCTGACTCGAAAAGTCAAGAGTGAGAGTGGAACTCCCAATGAAATGCTTGAAATACAAATATGAAGCAATCAATGAATAAACCTTTAAAAAGAGACACAAGAAAGATTAACATATAACAAGTGCCATGACATATGAAAATGTCAAGACCAAGTCTGAAATAGAGTTTGAGATATAGCCCAATCTTTAGGAGACTGATCTGTAATATAGATGGTCTTGGACTGGATATGGCCTTAACATAACATTAATATATAAGTGGTACCTTTGGGTGTTTATAAAGGGATTAGATATGTGGAACACTTGAACTAAGTGCAAATGCAAAGTGGTATAAAAGCCATTTATAGGACTAATAAGTCCCTAAGTTGGAAATAAAACTCATAGAGATTGTAAATGAAACTCCTCTAAGTAGTCAAGGGTGTGGTTAGGTGATTAAAGTAGGATGAAAAAATTAATCACTTACAAATTGTTGGAAAATGCCAGAAATGTTAAGGAAGTTGTCGAAGATATGGAAGAAAATAAATAGTAGTTGATTTCTAATGCTTTGGTTTTTTTAATTTTAGTAGTTTAATTTTATTAAATTTTTTTTTATAAAAAAAAATTATGAACTAATTAGCCATTCAACACTTTCACAACCAATTAATAACCACAATAGTGATTAACCATGACAATGATCCCACAACCTCCACTATAATCTATTTCCTGCCTGGAGATTCTTCATGGCCAACACACTCTTGTACTGAGCATACACTCTGTGAAGAATCACTTCCATTGTCTTCCTGGCAATGCCACTCCACTTATTCCAATGCAAGTTTAGCACACTTTTGGCTGCTATCTCCATCTCGGACAACCTTGAGGTCTCCAAAGTCACCAGCACCCATATACATAGCCTCTATCCAGTCCCTATTCTTGAGAGATATCCTCTGGCCTGGAACCAAAAACTACACTCCAACTTGACGAGCACTAACCAGTCAGCAGCCCTTGCAGCTCAAAGCAGTTGTCTTCCAGGTGCCAGAAGTACTTCCCTGGCCAGCTGTGTGCTTCTGCAAGAGCAAAGCATCCACCAAGCTCAGGTATTATGACTTTCTTCAGGATCCACTCTGGGAAGTAGAGACATAGGTGTTCTCATGCTTGACACAGACAATGTTGAAACTTGGAAGGTCGTTGACTGCATCACTCACCCAGAAGCCCGTGATGGAGGCCTTGTCCTTGAGAAACCTACAAGCTTGGAGCTCCAGACATGAACAGCAAACTCCAAGCCAGCGCCTTTCAAGTTCCTCTTTAGCAAAACCAGTGTGGCGTTGGCCGCTACGAGCTCGTCCCAGCAAGCCGGTGATGGAGCTGGCATTCTCCTCCAAATCTTGCTCTTGATCAAGTAGAAGCACAGGAAACTCTTGATGCATTTGAAGGCCGCTACAAAGCCAGGACCTGCCACCTTTTGCTCCTCCAGAACAAATCTCAAGATGGTCCTGTTGCCTGTGTCAATGATCTTGAGAGGATAGAGGGAGAGCATGCCTTTGGACTGGACAGTGTGGCCAAATTGCCCTGACATGAATCATGGAAATATTCCAAGACTATTCCATAGCAATATATTTACATGTATTTTTATGAAATCTTTTCCCTTTACCAAACTTGGGCTTTGGAAAATAAACTATATGGTCAAAAGTAAAGCGTTTGCATCCCATTATTCTAATCAATTAGCAATGATTATAGTGACTAGTATAAATGACACGAGCCTAAGCTATCTTCAAAAATATCTAACGGAATATACTTTTTCCTGACAAAATGTACCGCTTATTTTATTTATTTCCGTTTGGGGTTTTTGTAGGGCAACGTGATGGTGGAGCCCTAATTTTCGAGCGATGGATCCGGCAGTGCTCGACGATTTGATCGGGCGGCTGCTCGAGGTGCGCAGTGGCCGCCCGGGGAAGCAGGTCCAGCTCTTGGAATCGGAGGTGCGGCAGCTTTGTGTAGTCTCCAAGGACATCTTCATGTCGCAGCCCAATCTTCTGGAGCTCGAGGCGCCCATCAAAATCTGTGGTAAGCTCCGCGAATGAGCATTGCGCTCAAGTCTAGCAGAGAAGTGGACTTTGAGGTTTTGTTTTCTTTTGCGTGTTTATTGTCTTTGTTTGTTTGATCTGAAAATCTCTCTTTTTTCTCGTCTAGCAGAGAGGTGGACTTTCATTCGATCGTTTCCTTTTGCCCGTGTTTAGTGTCTTTGTTCTATGGCATAGCCACTTGCTCTTTGTCTGAAATTTCTTTTGTTTCTCACGAGAAGATTTTTCTTCGTGTGCTAGGTGACATCCACGGCCAGTACTCGGATCTCTTGAGACTGTTTGAGTATGGTGGCTTTCCTCCCGAGGCCAACTACTTGTTCCTGGGTGACTATGTTGATCGTGGGAAGCAGAGCTTAGAGACGATATGCCTGCTTCTGGCCTATAAGATCAAATACCCGGAGAACTTCTTCCTGCTCAGGGGTAATCACGAATGCGCCTCCATCAATCGTATATATGGCTTTTATGACGAATGCAAGCGCAGGTTCAACATTAAGCTATGGAAGATTTTTACAGATTGCTTCAATTGCCTCCCGGTGGCTGCTCTCATCGACGAGAAAATCCTGTGCATGCACGGTGGCCTCTCTCCCCACATGAAGACCTTGGATCAGATCAAGAGAATCCCCAGGCCCACCGACGTACCAGATTCCGGTCTCTTGTGTGATCTTCTATGGTCCGACCCCGACAAAGGTGTTGATGGCTGGGGTCAGAATGATCGAGGTGTCTCATTTACATTTGGTAGCAACGCGGTTGCGGAGTTTCTTCAAAAACAGGACCTCGATCTCATTTGTCGAGCTCATCAGGTATGATGCTCGTGAGTTCTTTCTTTATTGTTGCTTTGAGCCCCATGTCTGCAATAACAATAACAGGTGGTGGAAGACGGATACGAGTTTTTCGCCAACAGACAACTTGTGACGATATTTTCGGCACCCAACTATTGTGGGGAGTTCGACAATTCAGGCGCTATGATGAGCGTTGACGACACACTAATGTGCTCGTTTCAGATACTTAAGCCAGCGGAGAAGAAGCCTAAGATGTCAACTGGCCATCCCAATCTAACTAGACCAGGAACTCCACCTCGCGGATTAAAGGTGCGTGTTGTCATTCTAAGCTCGCTTGTCAATTCTCATCAAAGTTTTCTCAATGTTATCAGCAGGCAAGAGTGTGAGTTTGAGATTAGGAAACGGGGATTGCGCCATCCTCAATAAAAGACGTCGCGTTATTACTTGGTCGTGATCAGTTAAGCGAGAGGGAAGTTACTGTACAGCAGCTTTGCGTAGCGGCACTGGTGGTCACTGCTGGTGGTGCTGCTGGTGGGAATCCAATGAATGACAGAACAGTGCTTGATTTGTATGTTTGTTTTTTTCTTTTTATCTGCAGTTTTCTCGAGAAGAGTTTTACTTATATGAGCAAAAGGCTCAGCACCTCGAGGCTGGACAAATCGGGATGCTTGAAGCCGTGAAGAGCGTAACAAGTACGTTCTAGATTCGTGCTCAGCTCGATTTTGTCTTAGCAGGTGTGCTCGCGCGGTTCAAGAGCTTGAGATGGCTGTGCTTGGATATTGCGAGGCCACCTGTGAGTCTGCTTTTTTTTTATCTCTTGGAGGATTGAGGGTGTCATGCAGGATCCTGAGGTAGCTGGTTTGCTAAAACATCTTCATTTGATCACACACTACAACAAAGCAGACGACTCCACCACCTCGAGGCTGGACAAATCCGGATGCGCCATTCCAGCGAGAGCTAGCACCTGGTTATCGCCAAAGTTATACGCTCGCCTGAAGCTCTCCACGCACCGCGCCGACTGCGATGTCGCGTACTCCCCGGTGCAGAGCTTGCAGCCGCAGAAGTGCGTGACGAATGGCCACTTTTGGCGATCGCCCACGTTGCCTCTGGCCGCCATCTCCTCGAAGCCGTCGACGATCACCTCCCAGAAGCCGTGGAGAGCGTACCCGGCCTCCAAGTACGTCCTCCTCTCGTGCTCCGTCTTGTTTCGTCTTAGGAGATACGCCAGCGCGCTCTGATCGTCCGCGGGCCAGTTCCTCGGACGCGTCCTGAACTCCCTGTTCAAGATCTCCGTGAGATGGTGGCTGCGCTGCGGTGAATCCGGCCGGAAGCTCATCCACTTGTCCAGGAAGTTGCGAGACCACTCGGTGTTTCTGATGAGGAAGATCCCGGCATTGAGGCCCAGCCAGTCCGGATCGTCACCATAAACCTGTAAGATCAGATGATCACTGCTCTCGCTCGCGTTTGAATCTGCGTACCTTTTCCCAGTATCCAGGAATGATCATGTCCTTGTTCCAGCTCTCGTAAGTTTCCAGCGGGATCACGAACGACATATCGGTGAAGAGCGCGTCCGAGTCCATCCACATGAACCACTCGACGTGGGAGTTGACGAGCATGAGCCTCTGGAGCAGCGGATAGCGAGCCCAGGTTCCAGTGAAGCCCGGCTGCCACGACTCGAGGCTGTACCACACCTTGCACTGGTGTAAGTTGCAGTAGTCTACCTTGTTCTTGAGCGACATCATGAGGAGGTGCGAGCCTTGCCTGGTCTTGCACGAAGTCGGCTGATCGGCGGTGACCAGGAGGAACTTGAGCGGCTCGGGTGGTGCTTGCTTGAGGGACTTGAGCATCCGCATCCTCGAGTAGAGGTCGGAGTGTGCCGAGGCTATGATCAGGGGAGCTGGACGGTCTGCTGCTGCTGCGTCATGCTTGGACGATTTTGATAGAGATCGAGACGGGTGATCGATCGTGGTGTCCTGCAAGGTTGTGAGGAGGAGCACGACGATGAGGAAACAGGCTGCGACGAGGAGCAATCCAGCGAGCAGCGCCGGTGGTGAATTCGCCATTTGAGTGAAGTGAGGCCTCGAAGAAGCTATGCTCGTTTCTTAGTATTTCTTTCCCCGGGCATAGAATTTGCGTGGTATCATGCATTCGGCCCTTCCGGGAAGAAATTCTTATCCTTCTGTCCAAAATCGGCGCGAAAATGCGCCACCGCGGGCGAGCGCTCTGTTCCTGCCGCCACTGCTGCTGCCGCGAATCGATCGGTCGAGGTATCTTTTTCCATCCATCCAATGTAGGACGCGGTCATAGCTTCCTTAGTTGTCTCTTTTAAAGCATGGAGAGATCCTGTCTTCCTTCCACCAGAGCCTTTTCCTCTTATATTTTTTGACCAACATTAAATAAAAAAGATGCTTCATTTTTAATAAGCATTTCTTTTTTAAAACTTGATTAATTTTTTATGTTGTAGATTTTGTACCTTTTATTTAATTTATAAATATTAACTTATATCAATATGTTTACTATTTTCAGTAATTGGTTATACTTATTACCAAAGTTCAAGACAAATTGTTTTACTTTTTCTTTAAAAATTTTAAGTTAGAAAGTCAGTTGTTTTTTGTATGATTTTTTATCAATAGTTTATAAAAAATTTAAGCTCTTAGAAATGTTTAATTGTTTATTATTTTAGTATTGTGAGGGCCAAGTGTATAGCTACAATGCCATATACTAATATTAACGTAGTGGGGTTTTGGTAGTTGTCAGATTGGTTTCAATCCGGAGGGTTTTTGGGCTAATTGATATGCATATTTTCTATATTCCCTTTTCATATTCCAAACACTCACATTGGTGGAGGTGAAGGGCATCTTTGATTATCCCTGAGGAGTGCTTGGATTTGGGATTTTGGTTTAAATCTAGCTTTTACATTGTCTAGATCTAGCTTTTTCCATTTCCTTTCTTTTGTTCTTTTCTTTCAGGATTTTGGTTTAGATTTAGCTTTTTGCATTGTCTAGATCTACCATTTCCTTCTAGCTTTTTGTCATTTCTCTTCTTTTGCTCTTTCTTTTTTATTCGTTTCCATGGCAGATCAGCAATCTCCTCCTTTGACTCTGGAGTAATAGTTGGTACAATTGCTTGATACTATGCGTTTGCAATTGAACAACCAAACTCAGTTGATGGTGGCGTTCACAGCACATGGTACAACTCCTCCTGCTCTTGGTGCAAATCCTCGTGTTCGGCTGGAGTTCTTTTGCGGGAATCTTGGGGATGATGTGTACCATTGGTTCGATCACTCACGGTGATTGCCACATATCATTCTTGGGATGATGCTAGACGTTTGCGTGAGTTTCCCACGTGTCTCCAAGAGACGGCGTTGCAGTGGTACAATGGTTTAGGAGCAGCCACTCGCGGGGATTGGAGTGTTCTTCCGGATGTCTTCAAACGCACCTTCGGACATGCCGATGACTGTGATGATGCTTTCCAACAATTGCATCGTCTTCACCAAGGGCCATCTGAGTCGGTGATGCAATTTGGCGTTTGTTTCCGAAGTCTTTTGCTTCGTGCGGAGCCAAATATGTCAGAGCGGATCAAGCTAGGAATGTTGTGACCAGCACTTCGTCAAGATCTTGTCGAACTTGTGCATGCACTTGCTCTTGCCACCCTTGACGATGCTCTTCGCTTGGCACAACATTATGAGGCGTCGCCTCTTCCACTTCTCGTTGCACGTCCTTCAGTTCCTCTTCCTATAGGTGATGGTCCTATTCCAATGGAGGTTGATGCTGCTGCTGCTCGAGTCCAAGGATAAGGGCGAGGACGTGGTCGTGGCCGTGATGTTTGCTGTTGGCATGTGAGGAAGTTGATCATACTTATCGGCGTTGTCGGCGTTTTCCAGATTAGCAACCTCCATTTCTTGGGTGGAGACCTTGGCATCAGCAACGTCCCATTGGTGTTGCTGACATCGAGATGCATCCAGGAAATGAGAAGTCGCGCAAGTAACGGAGGGACCTTGTGCGAATAAGTCAATGACCCCTCCATCTTTCTTTCAGGAGTATCATCAAGGGGTTCACTCGGCACTAATTCATCCAGTGTTTACTTTGCAAGCTCGTTTTTATAACAAGAGGTCTCCTATTATTCTCTCCGTGTTGATTGATACAGGTTCGAGTTTATCTTCTATTGCTCGACCTGTTGCCACATGTTGCCGTCTATACTTGCATCGTGCGGTGGAACCAGTTTTCATTCTTTATGGCAACAGCCGTACACATGCATGTGCATGGGATAAGGCAAACTTGGTTGTGTGTATGGGGGATCTCGAGCTTGAGTTGCAGTCATTGCAGGTGGTGCCGAGTCAAGCTTTTGACCTCATTCTTGGTATAGATTGGTTGCAACGCAATCATGCCAAGTGTGATTTTGAGGCTTCTCCCCTTTGTCTCATACTTCCTTATGTTTCATTCATTCCTCTTACTTCAATCCCTCTACTTCTACCTCTACTTCCATTACTTTTGTTTCTCCACTATTTCCTCTTATGTTTCCATTTTGTTTTGATCTTCTCTTTTCCGATCCCTCCAACAATCTTTGTGTTGTAGCGGTTGACCGGCTCATGAAGGAATATTCTAATCTCTTTGAATTTGACCTATCATCTAGGGCCAAGATTGCCACATGTCATCCGATTCCAACCGGGGATGCTCGTCTAATCAAGGTTCCTGTTCGTCATCGGTCACCCAAGGAGATCAAGATTTTGCATGCAAACGTAAATGAGATGTTGGAGAAGGGTGTTATTCGGAAGTCGCGGAGTCCTTGGGCATGTGAACCTCATCTTGTGACGAAGCCTGATGGGAGTATTTATTTTTGCATCGACTATCGTCCGTTAAACGAAGTGACGATTCCAGATATGTACCCTCTTCCTCACATTGCTAATCTCTTGGATCGTCTAGGGCGAAGTCGTTGGTTCACCGATGTAGCGCATGCGATCATGGGATGAGATTTGGATATACTGTCACCGTGGATCCTTGGAACCTTGGGGGATAAATGGGGATAAAATAGCCACTAAGGGCTCTCTCATCAAGCAATTGCCCCTTTTCCAGTTGGTTTAAGGGGAGAGAGATAAGGTGCGCTACAGTTGGTATCAGAGGAAATGGCACGGGTTCAATTCCCATTGATTAGTGGCTACTTAAAAATATAATATACCCTTGAGCAAGGTATATTCCTACCCCTAAATTTGAAATCGTACGTATTGGGCATCCATGCATACGTCCTTCCTCTTGTGTGGAGTATCCACGGACGAAGGTATCCACCGTGGGACTGCGGTACGGGTGGATGACTAGTTGCCTCACATGGAATAGCTGGTCTACACAATGGAAGGATTGGTAGATTGAGTGTGGAAATGGAGGTGCTGGTTCCCCTTGGCTCAGTAGGGGTTGTTAGTCAATAGTCAATGAGGACATTGACATCTCTGAAGGGGGGGTGAGTGTAGCGCATGCGATCATGGGATGAGATTTGGATATACTGTCACCGTGGATCCTTGGAACCTTGGGGGATAAATGGGGATAAAATAGCCACTAAGGGCTCTCTCATCAAGCAATTGCCCCTTTTCCAGTTGGCTTAAGGGGAGAGAGATAAGGTGCGCTACAACCGAGCTGGATCTTGCTTTTGGGTACTGGCAAGTACCGATGGCCGAAGAAGATATTCCTAAGACTGCTTTTCATACACCATTTGGTTTGTACGAGTTCTTGGTGATGCCATTTGGTTTGAACAATGCTCTAGCAACTTTCCAGTGGATGATGGACGAGGTTCTTTGCGATATGCTGGAGGTGACTACTGACTTCATTGATGATATCTTGATCCACTCGGAGGGGATATAGGAGGAGCACGTTCATGATGTTTGTAAAGTGTTGGATCGGCTACACAACGTTGGTTTAAAGCTGAAGTGGTCGAAGTGTGTATTTGGGTCCAAGGATACAACTTATCTTGGGTACCGTATTTCTCGTGAGGGTTTGCAAGTTGATCTTGACAAACTTATGGCTGTTCCAAAGTTCTCTACTCTGAAGTGCGTGAATGATATGCAATGCTTCTTGGGCAAGGTGCAATATCTTGGTTGTTTTGTGGATCATATTTCTAATCACACTGCACCATTGCGAGTGTTGCTGAGGTCATCAACGTCATCTTTCATCTGGTCTCCGGATTGTGAGCATCTTTCATCGTTTGGGGCCAAGATTGCCACACGTCATCCAATTCCAACTAGGGATGCTCGTCCAATCAAAGTTCCCGTTCGTCGTCGGTCACCCAAGGAAATCAAGATTTTATGTGCAAATGTTAAGGAGATGTTGGAGAAGGGTGTTATTCGGAAGTCATGGATGTGAACCTTATCTTATGACGAAGCCTAATGGGAATATTCATTTCTGCATCGACTATCGTCCATTAAACGAAGTGACGATCCCAGATGTGTACTCTCTTCCTCATATTGCTGATCTCTTGGATCGTCTAGAACAAAGTCGTTGGTTCACCAAGCTCGATCTTGCTTTTGGGTACTAGCAAGTACCGATGGCCGAAGAAGATATTCCTATGACTGCTTTTCGTACACCATTTGGTTTGTACGAGTTCTTGGTGATGCCGTTTGGTTTGAACAATGCTCTAGCAACTTTCCAGCGGATGGTGGACGAGGTTTTTTGCGATATGCCAAAGGTGACTGTTGACTTTATTGATGATGTTTTGATCCACTCGGAAGGGACGTGGGAGGAGCACATTCATGATGTTTGTAAAGTGTTGGATCGGCTACGTGATGTTGGTTTAAAGCTGAAGCGGTAGAAGTGCGTGTTTGGGCCCAAGGACACAACTTATCTTGGGTACCGTATTTCTCGTAAGGGTTTGCAAGTTGATCCTGACAAACTTGTGGTTGTTCTAAAGTTCCCTACTCTAAAGTGCGTGAATGATATGCAGTGCTTCTTGGGCAAGGTGCAATATCTTGGTCGTTTTGTGGATCATATTTCTAATCGCACTACACCATTGCGAGCGTTGCTGAGGTCATCAACGTCATCTTTCATCTGGTCTCCGGATTGTGAGCAGGCATTCGTGGATCTCAAAGAGCTATTGATGACTCCTTCAGTTTTGGCATATCCTGACTACACTCGACCTTTTATTTTGCACGTGGATGCTTCTGACATTGGTCTTGGAGGTGTGTTAATGCAAGAGAGCTTGAGTGTGCCTGGTTAGTGCCATCCCATTGTGTATATAAACCGTACATTACAACCAGTAAAAATGAACTACTCCATGACAGAGAAGGAGTGTTTAGCAACAGTCTGGGGTTTTGACAAACTTCATGCATATCTACACGGTTTTCAGACATTACTTGAAGGTGATCATGCTGCTGTTACTTCATTATTGAAGCGGAAGAACCTAGTTGGTCGTACTGCTCGATAGGCTTTAAAGCTTC